CATATGTAAAGCAAAAGTTTTTAAAACTTTTAGAAGAAAATACAGAAACATATAATTTAAGAGAACATTTCCTTAATCCAGAAATACACACAAAAAACAAGTCATTTAAAGGAAATTTTTCATAAATATGACTTTAAAATTTGAAATTTATATACAGTCAAATACAGTTAACAAAGGGAAAGAAAAAGCCTCAGACTGGCAGGATGCATTTGCAATACACAGATCATATCCCTCAAATAATTAGTATCCAAAGTAACCCAACTGTTCCTCAATGAGTGAAGACTACATGAACTGCAGTTTTGTCTACAACTGAATACACTCAGCAGTTAAAAATAAATGGACAAGCCGGGCTCAGTGGCTCAGCCTGTAATCCCGTGCCTTTGGGAGGCTGAGGTGAGTGGATTGCCTAAGCCCGCAGGTTCAAGATCCGCCTGGGCAGGTGAGACCTCATCTCTACAATAAATCAAAAAATCAGGCGGGCGTGGTAGCGCATGCCTATAATTCTGGCTACTTGGAAGGCTGAGGCGGAAGGATCGCCGGAGCCCAGCATGTCGAGGCTGCGGTGGCCGGGAGCGGCCACTGCACTCCAGTCTGGGCAACAGAGTGAGACTCCAACTTAAATAAATAAATAAATAAATAAATAAATGGACAGGCCGGGTGCAGTGGCTCATGCCTGAAATCCCAGGCCTAAGTGAGAGGACTACCTGAGTTCAAGACCAGCCTGGGCAACTTGGTGAGATCTCGTCTCTACAACAAACAAATAAAAATTAGCTGGGCTTGGTGGCACGTACCTGTAGTTCCAGCTACTTGGAAGGCTGAGGTGGAAGGATCACCTGAGCCCAGCAGGTCGAGGCTGTGATGGCCGTGAGTGTGCCATCACATTGCAGCCTGGGCAAGAGTCAAAATAAATAAACAAACAAATAAACTCGATCCACAAGTAGCAACATGGTTACAGCTCCAACACTTATGATTTCAAATGTGCACCTCTCAATCCAGCAATTCTTTCATTCACTGCAGCAACAGCTATTAATGAGGATTAATTAAAGTGCAACACATACTACATAACAGATTGTGTGGTAGTTAAGAAAACTCAGGCAGATTCCTACATTCCAATATGAAAAAAACTCAAAAACATTCGGTTAAGGAAAAAAGCTGCAGCACTCTATGTATGGTATGACGTCACTAATGTAGAGGGGAAATTTTGCGCTCTTTCCCCTGCATTATCTATATATACATGCAAATACATACAGAATGGTCTGGAAGGATCACAAGATGGTAACTGCAGTTTCTGTGGAGAAAGGAGTCAGCCAAGGGACCCTTCAACTGTCTGTACTGTCAGAGTATCTTACAAGCGAGTGTACGTTCTGAGCCACTTGCAGCATACAGCCACATTCTACCATTCCAGGAGCTGCCGTGCATAGAGACACCAATGTAAATGGTACCCCCTAAAGATGGACAGCCATGCATCTTGCACAACTAGATGCCACAGCCCTGATGCTTGTGTAATTAGAAATTAAAAGGGGGCCAGGTGTGGTACCCCATGCCTCAAATCCCAGCACCTTGGGAGACCAATGCAAGAGGATCACTTGAATTCAGGAGTTCAAATCCAAGCCTGGACAACATAGTGAGACTACCATATCTACAAAAAAAAAGTTTAAAAAATTAGTCAGGTGTGGTAGTATGCGCCTGTAGACCCAGGTACTCAAGAGGCTGAGGCGACAGGATCACTTGAGCCCAGGAGGTGGAGGCTGCAGTGAGCTATAATGGTGCCACTACACTCCAGTCTGGGCAACTGAACAAGACTATGTTTCAATCAATTAATTAATCAATAGGAGGATAAGGGGTTGACTCCAAACCTGCACGAGGGTACTTTCTGAGGTGATGGACATTTCTGTGTCTTGACTGAAATAGTGGTTACAAAGTATACAGTGGTCCTCCCTTATCCTCAGTTTTGTTTTCCATGGTTTCAGTTACCCATAATCAATCATGGTCCAAAAATATTAAATGGAAAATTCCCAAAATAAACAACTCATAAGTTTTAAATTATGTACTGTTCTGAGTAATGTGATGAAATCTCATGCCATCTTTCTCCATCCCACCCAGATGGAATCATCCCTTTTTCCAGTGTATCCATGCTGTACAAGCTACCCTCCAGTTACTCACTTAATAGCAGTCTTGCTTATCAGATCAGCTGTTATGGTATCACGGTGTTTGTGTTCAAGAAACCCTTGTTTTACTTGACAATGGACCCAGAGCGCAAAAGTAATGAAGCTGGCAATTGGGATATGCCCAAGAAAAGCCAAATATAATATATGCCATAGAAAAGGTGCTAATCTCTTACTACACCTAATTTATAAGTTAGACTTTATCACAAGTATGTATGGTATAGGGAAAAAACATATGGTTCAGCATTAGCCCCAGTTTCAGGTATCCACTGGGGGGGGGGGGGCCTTTTTT